ATATATATATATATATATATATATATATATATATACATATATATATACAACACACATATATATAGCTTCATTCTTTACGCTCTTCCGTCACTAAATATTAATCGTTATAACTATTATTATCATCGCCGTCATCGCCAGTTTTTCTTTCTCTCTCGCGCTTATTTATATTCAAACAATGATGACCACAAAAATCGAGCATACCACAATAGCGCTCGCCATTATATTAAATCTTTGTATTGTACATATCGCGACGTCAAACTCGGAAAATCACGAGGGGCCCGATATCGTGCCCCGCGTCGTAATATAATATGTACAGCTAGAGAAATGGGACTACGTGTATACTACAACGGTAGCAACCGTAGATTCTAGACAACAGTCAAAAAGTATGGAAGAGACGATTTGCATAGATTTATATATAGATATATAATCTTTAATATAACTGTGTTTTTTTACTTAAAATAAATAACCCATTCTTTTTTGTTAAAAATGCGCTTCTCGGTCCACCGACTCGGCTGCTTTCTCACTTTGTTCTCTTTCTCCCGCTCACACACTCTCTCATTCACGCAACACGTACACCACGTCCGATCATCAGCTCATCGGCCACGCATTTATCGCCCTTCTTCACGATCGGGATTTGAACCACGGGATATGCCCACTCCTGATATGTCCGCACGCTTAAAAACTAACTCGTTCGCAGTCCTTCTTTCGCGATTGTTCAGGTACACCGATTGACGCATCGAGAAAATAGAAGGCCCCGGTTCGGCGAGCGAAAACGAAAAGTGTTAAAAAAGAAAAGAAAAGAAACAGAGAGAAAGAGAGTTAGAGGAGAAAAGAAAGAATCCGTACACGGCGCGCATCCTATTGTACGAGGAAGAAGAGACTGCGAATGTCGTTGACGCGATTTCGAGCTTGCCTACTTATATACGACATTTACTATTAACGAGAACGCACAGTCTTATGGAGTAAACCCGTGAGCGAACTTCGACAAGTAAAAAGGTATCATTATTTTATAGTCTATCACTTTATAATCGTAGATTTGGTTCGACCCGTCGTCTGACGAAACGATTGACGTTATATATGCGAAAGTTGTAGTTATCTTTATATACATGTATCGCCTTGGACGTATACACTTTCTTTCTTTTCGCAACACAACGTATACGCACATATATACACATACATACACATATCCAACCACCACGCACCTTGCGACTCATACCGTTTCACGCGTTCTTACATTCTCACGTTCTCCTTCGTATAAATATACCGAAAAAAAGAAAGAAAAGAAAAAGAAACCGCTGTGCTACCAAAGGGTGCCTGGTTTTATTCCAGCGAATTCACGCTCGCATCTATCCACCTAGACACTAAGTTTTAGCGCTACGTAACGTACAAAAGGTAAGGCCGCCGCATTAATACACTGACTAGATCAGTTTCATATGTTCTCTCTCTTTCCGAAGTGGAAACATCTCTCGGCTTCAACAAGAATATCCGGGACACGGTGTATCTCTGCCAACAAAAAAATATATATATGTATATATATACTATCGTTATTTTTTTCTTTTTCTCTCTCTCTCCGGCACTTTGTACCCGCGCGTCCCGAGCATTGTTACAACGCTGTGACACGCGAAACTGCGAACAGCTGCGAAAGCACGTAGCAGCAGTCGATGAATTTATATGCGCCGCATCGACGTCGGTCTGCTGAGCCAAAAAACGAATTAAGAGTCACGCGAGCGCGGCGTAGGCCTCCGTAAATGTGAAACTTAAAGGATTTCTGATCCTTGAAATCACTGCGGATGCATCGGACTGTGTGTGACGTATGGAGGGCGAGAGGTAATACCGTAAAATTAATTTATTTCAATGAACGTAAGAATAGCTGCAATACGACTGCAGTGATGTGAGTTAGAAATCTTAAAAAGAATATTCAAATAAAAAGGAAAAAAATCTTTTTAATTAAAAATCGAAGTTGTCGTTTACCGATACATCGGAAGCAACACGAGTGCAAAAAGTCGACAATACTAACCGCGTCAGTATGCGCAAAAAAAAAATAAAGAATTGCGAGACAAGAACCTTTGGCCTAGCGCGATTCGCCAACCTAATTAAAAGAATCAACTTAAATAAAAGAATCACTCGCCCTTATTCGTAACTCGCGTCTCGTCGAACTGAACTCCCACTCTTGCAGTGATCGGTAAAATCCACGGTTCGTGCGCATAAGGACGGAGATGGCTAACTAGGAACTGCGAGGCACTGCAATACGTGTCGATCGCGAGCGGCCGGCGCTACATTGGCGCTGTAAAACCCGAGCGCAATTTTTTCAGGTGAAATCTGTTACTGCTTCACTCTTTCCTCCCTTTCTTTCTCTTTTTCTATCTCTCACCCGAACGACGCATCGTTGTAGCCAAGTATAGCATCATGTGAAATGGTTTATGTTACGTACAAAAAATCCCGTGCTGATGGTTCGCCAGATTTCAGTCGTGCAATTCAATATAGTGTATGTAGATTATCAAAAAACATCACAGTCAGGTTACTAGATTTTAGAGAAGTGTCCGTCAGCACGCCACGAGCGTGTATCGACTATCCTCCGCCTATGAATTGCGCATGCAACCTATAATCCCCGACACACCTATACCATTCCTCTCCTCCTCACCTAATTTTCTTCTCCACGTAGGTGAGAACGTATGCAATCATCATCTATCGTTATCGCATAATGTCCCGGAATACTCGCCATCACCGCGAGACACAACAACGAGGCTCTGTCGGATCCTCTCGAAAACGGTATCGCGTTTCGCTTCGCGCAGTAGGCTTCTCCACGTTGACGCGCCGACCTCGCGCGGACCGCTCGCGCGTCGTGGAAAAACGACGAGGTGCCGAGCGGTGAATGTCGCGGCTCACGCGTAAGATCAGTAATATCACTTCTTGTCGAATAACGCGAGTTTACTGCGCACGGCACCTTCGCACACTACCAGCCGTTGCGCGGCCGAGATAGGCACGGGCCCCTCTAAACTGGCCCTCAACAAGGTTAGTCGACTGGGACCGGCGTCGCCGTGGTCGCTTAGTCGTAAACTGCCTGCCGTCGCTTGCTTCCTCTCAAAATACTCGACGATCTTCGAAATGGTCTTGCTGGACGACCCGAGCCGATCTTCCCAGCAGGACGAGTCGCCGCCACCTAAGCTGGCTATGTCCTCGGAAGAGTCAGTATATATCGAGCTGGTCCGATGATCGTCGAGTAGGAACAGACTGCTCGCCGCTGAACTGCTCAGGGTTGACGTGTGTCGCCGATTCGGTGGCTCCGGGCTGAGGTCTTCGCCGACGCAACTCCAAAAACCCGATTCGCAGCTGCCGCGCCTTCGTGGCTCCCAGCCGTCTCGAAACAGTGGATGGGCGAACAGACTCGCAGCACCTACTTTGGTAGCGACCTAAGTACAAACATGAATCCTTAGAGTTTGTCGAAAATTCAGCTTACTTTTAAGAACTTTTTATAATTAGGAATTCAAACTTAATCACATTGAACGTTTATCCATATAACTTCATCTGTATGTGTATTGTGTCTGTACAGTGCGTTGTTGTTGAAAAAAATTTCTCTCAAGGTTGTTGCATTATATGATCCGAATGTAAGAGAAACATTGTAAGACAGAAACGTACCTCCCATTCAAATTACACTGAAATCGCTCGAAGCAACTTCGCGCACCTACCTTTCTCTCCCACTTCTTCCTGGCTGTTGGACTACTCGGCTCGGAGTTTGGCTTCTTCCGGTCCAGGATCTTGGCTATGCTGTCGTTCTGCGCCGGCTTGAATTTGCACGCTCCGTCGGTCACACTGGGCCGCACGTCTTCGAGAGAAGGTAACTCCAAGCAGCTGGAGAACAGGTCGCCGAGGATCTTTTTGACGCCACCCAATGCGTGGAACGGATTCGCCGTCATTGGCCTATAATGCGGGTCTCTTCTGCTGGCAAGCTCGGCCACCCGTCTAGCGGAATGACACCTTGCCTTGTCCGAGGGCGTCGCGTTATCGCAGCCTCTCGCGTCCGCCGACTGACTCCTGAGCTTTGCCGTGCGTCGCTTCGTCGTACGTCCCTCGCGCACGATCTCGTCCATGCTGGACATCAGCGTCGGATCGACAGTCGACTGCCGTTTACCGATGTTGCTCTTCAGCTCCTCCTCGCAGGCCGTTATCATGGTTTCCAGGCTGCTCGTGATTTCCGGAAAAGTCGGCCTGGACTTGGGTTCATACTGGACAGAAATAAGACTCTTCTTCTTCATTGAACCACTCGCGTCGAAGATAAATTAGTCGTGAAACAGTCGTGGACGTTAGGGAGCAAAATTCGATAATATTGATAAACGATAAAATTTAACATAAATATTGTCATTTTATTAGGTGCAAATAACAGCTCGATAAGACAATTTGGTCTTCTTAGATTCGCGTAGATTTTATATTAATTGTCTCATCATAAATTTAATTACGGAGATATTTTGGACAGATCGGCAAGCTGTAGCGAACGATAGCCTCTAAGGAAAGAAGAAAGAAAATCTTACACCGTCGAAGGAGTTGTAATTGCGACTAAAGCTTCCGCGACATCCTCCTGTACCGACAGGTGCATACACAGCAAGTATTCTCGCGGTGAACGCGCGGCGGTTACACTAATCTTCCCGATTACTCGCAGCGGATCGGCATGCGCGCGCGACTTTACAGTTACAGGGACTCGTACTCACCGTGCAGCAGTTGAAGGCGAGCTGCAGGAAGGCGGGCGGCGGATCAGCGGCCGCGCAGATCTCCGCCACGGCCAGGTAATCGAGGCCAAAGTTATCTGAGCGTGGCAACACGTCCGGATCCGCCGGCACCCGGCCGATCAGCTCGCACACTACGATTCCGAATGAGAATACGTCGGATCGATGATCGTACCACTGCCCCTTCAGGCATTCAGGTGACATCCAGTAAGGGCTACCGACCGTACTGAGCCGGTAGCCCGAGCTGGGGTCGGGTATCTTCGCGGCTAGACCGAAGTCGCCCACCACCGCGATCATCTCGTTGCTGCACTCGTCCTTCTTTATCAGAACGTTCTTCGACGTGAGGTCACGGTGGAAGAGGCCACGGCTGTGCAGGTAGGCCATGCCGCGGGCCACGTCCTTGGCGAGGTTCATCCGGACGAGGTGCGGTAACGGCGTGTGCCGCGACATGATCAGTTGCTCCAGGCTGCCGCCGTTGATGTACTCCGTTAACGCGTGCAGCTGACCCTCATGCACGCACACTCCCATGAACCTGTGGAGAAGACCAGATGATCGATTTTCTAATGAGAAAGCGACGTGTCTTTCTCGTCCTCCTCTTCTTCTCTTCTCCTTCTCCTCATCGTTGTCTGGGAGAACTTTATTAAATAATGTAAGCAAACTTCCGACAGTCTCCACAATCGGGGAAATTTATTTAAAAAAACACACTAAACTTTAATTAACAGATATGGAGAGAAGATTAGAATATCAATAATTCCATTCATTACTTCAGATTAAGATATTAATTATTCCACTAATTATCTCAGATTACTAAATATCCGATGCGCATGAATGCATGATTGATATGGAGAGAGGAGAAGGAGATTGAAAAGTGGATGTGAATTTTGTTAATAGAGAGAAAGATAACATTTATAAGTAGCAAATGGTGTGAAGCGTTGTTTACATCAAATAACGAGTCGAGCAATGTCCTCGACATTAATGATGATTAAAGACACGGTCGGTATGCGCATTGCAGTTTCATCGCTGCGATATCATCGACGTTATCTTTACAGCCACTATATGCAGCGCTTGATTAAGTCTTGAAGAATTAAAAACTACTATACAAAAACATCAAGTAGTCTCGCTTATCAGAGGACATTCTCGTACGAGACAATTAATATCGCCGATAACTCAGTAACTCAGTAACTGAGATTATCTAACGATAAATGTCGATAAGCAATACCGCAAACCCTTCAGTTCTCAGTTGTAGGTGATAACGGTAAACACTTATGTTAATTTCACGGTCTGCGTTTGCACATCGAAATGGGAAATTAGAAAGCATAACTCCGTTATACTAAAATAAGGGCAATTCTCCGGCAGACTATAGATTATCACGCGCGTCGCAAATTATAGTTACGATTAATGTTGAATCTTTGCAGCGCGAAGCGACACAAAGAACGACGATACAAATCGATTACAGTTTTTCGTCGCGACTTTCAGCACGATCGATCACGGATATGCAAATTCAGGGGGGATCGGAGCGTTCCAAAAAAGATTTAGAAACGACGGTGGAACAGCTCGATTATACAGTGAAAATTACGCGCGGTACGCATTTCTCCGGCGGAGGAGGAAAGACTTAATCGGCGAGTGCACTTTACGTTATCGCCGGTTAAGACGAAGATTCCGCGTAAACGCGGCCTGAGAAAGGGAGTGAGAGAAGAAAATCATCCGTTCCGTCGCGTCGTCCCGATTTCGAGGCGTTTCGCCGCGCACGTCGAGACGCGTTTCTCTCTCGCAAGCGACAGAGGAGGAAAAAAAAGAACGACAAACGCGGCGCGAGCGAAAGAGAAATTTCCGGAGGGGCATTTTTCCCGGCTTAAAAACACCGCGCACGATGCATACGCTCCAGATTCATTCTTTTTTTATTTTGCCGATCAGATAAGAGGAGAAATGGTCGCTCTCCACGCGTTTCCCGAGGCTTGTCGTTCGCGCAATTGATGCGCGCCAGACACGCTAATTACATCGCGTCGCATCGTCGCCGAAGAATTCCTCGCGAATTGGACGTTTTGGACGTTTTAATGCGCGCAACTTCCCCTCCCTCCCTCTCTCCGTTGCGAAAGAAGGTGTCTTTCTCTGGATGAGAGATTGCAGGTTGTAGGAGTGAAAGCCGAAATGCGTGGCAATACGAACGAAAGTGTGTATCGATAGAAGAGCGAGGCGAATAAAACATAAGCGATTCATCGTAGATAATTGCGTTTGAAGATAATTACGCACTCTCAAGCCGCGACTCGGCTATACGTAGACGTCCGCTTTCTTTCAGCTCTTTCTTTTTCATTCGTTCGCTTGTCTATTCATTTCTTCCCGCGATTCATTTCGTACCGATCGGATTGTCACTCGTATCTATTTGCGTACACATCGATGCCATCATCTCGATTCAGAATCCAACGACGTCACGCGCGCGTGCAAATCGCGTCTACGTGCATTGAGATCGAGAGCGGTATCGCGCGCGATACCAAGTGCGCAAAAGTCGATACCGATGTCCGGCCACGTCGTCTCGATTAGAAAGGGGAAGTCCAAATCCTCATGGCCAATAGCTCTGGGGGAAGTACGGTTGAAACTTCATGCATTTTCTAGTTCTATATTAATGTCCATTCAAAGTCATGTACGTTTGATTTTTATTATAAAAATATTATAATTATTGTAATTTTGAGTGCCTTCTAAATCATATATTCGCTAAATTTACTATTTTTATAGTAATTTATTTACTATACAATGTCAGTGGAGAGAAAATCAAACTTTATAACAAATATCATAAAATTAAATGTATAATTTTATCATCATTTTTATTCTCTCCATATTATATTCTCTCCATACACACAAATCAGGTATTGATTGGAATCAACCTGATAAGGACCATAGGACCAATTTCTGGTCGGGATTCTCTAGTCGTGTGTCAGCCCGTCTTCTTCCCCTTTCGCGCGAATCGCATTTCGCGCAAGATCCAAGCATTACGTAAAAGGGCGCTCACACGAAATGAATGCGCCTCGACGAATGCAGATCGATCAGACGCGCTTTTAGAGACGTGGGAATTACTACGCGGGGTTCGAAGACGCCGGATATTTTCGGTCGAAGTCTATCCCGGCTGTTTTCATTCAGTCGCTGTCGCGAGAGATGGATCGCGCACCAATTGTCCGACTCAGAATGCCATTCCGAGGATTATGACTAGAGCTCTGTTGACGATGCCAGAATACCGTCGAATACGTGATACTATTTCGATACCATTGACGCATCTCTCTTCGAGGGCATTGTAATGTCCAGCAGTATCGTATATTGTAGCGCGAGTATCACAGTATCGATTTCAATAGATTCAACGAACAGATGGGCGCGTCGTGAAATTGGCTGGCGATTTTTATCAAATTTTTATCAAAAATTGATTACGTACTGTTCTAACATACTGTGATAACCAATTTTTCGTAGACTTAGATATTAATGAATTAATCTCTTCAGTTTAAAATGTCTGCGCGATCCCTTAAAATGGGATTTTTTAAAAATAAGTATATCTAGATTATTTTTTTTCTTTATTGCAAACATTTTCTTTATTTGCAAAAATTTTTTAAAAATAGAATATAAAAGATATCTAATTCGTATTCACTATAAATTAAAAAATACATCAGTTTAAAGAAATCTTATAGTTTATAGTCATTGGTCTAGCTTTTTTATAAAATAATCGCTTGCACCTATTCACAGGCAGCACACGGGCGCTCTAATGTGTGACTCACCTACATAACAGTAATTTGAAGGAATTTGATATTTGACCACGAAACTTGTTCGAGCATACTACTTAAGATTTTATTATTATCATGACTGTCGCGACAGGTTGGATAATTTTTTAATGATTCGGTATAATCGTGACTCAATACTTTATTGGAAGTAAACAAACTCGCAAATGGGGTGTTAATGTCAGGCGTGATCTAAAAATATCGATACTTCCTTTTGTGCAGCAAGCGCGCCATCGATCGACTTCCTGTTGATAGCGACACGAGGCATCAACATAGACATTGTCTCGTTATAGCGATCCCGGTATTACGACACAGCAGTCGTGGGGCGCGGGTATAATGATACACGCGAGAGAGCGCGACGAGTAAAGCCGAGATAACTACTATTTTTACGGCTGAGTCACAGCAGATGCGCGACTCGCGAGAATCCTGAGAAAGAGAGAGAGAGAGGACCCGCGATTTTCGCGGAGGCCTTCGCGCAGGGAAATGCCAGAAATAAGATCCGCTAGGTCCGCGGCGGTACGGGTAAACACCGTATCCGAATCTGGGCCAAGCCGTTTATATCGCCGGAATGCGTTGTCGTCGCGGACGCGGCGCGACGCGGCACGGCACGGCGAAACGTCCCGTCGAACGCGCCGAGTTATGTCATAACCGAGAGAAACGTTATACGAGGGGAAAGAAAAGAGCGATCCCGAGGGAAAACCCGAGGGAAGATATCGCGCGTGAATTTTGCGTTTTCCGTCTGCTGAAAGCGCAAGTCCGCTCACGAGTTTCGCGCCGCCGATTTTCGCGCGAGCTATTCGTGGAGATAAGGCGTGTTCCATAATTTGGCCGAAAGCAGGCGCGTTACTTGAATACGTTTATATTTATACTTCGAGTTCCTTTATATTCGAGCAACATTTATATTTCGAGTCCCTTCATCAAAATCTTAAAAATTCCTTGATAATCACAGCCAATGGAAGCACCCTCTTGTAAAATTAAGCTCGCGGAGAGAGAAAGAATAAAATTCGTTATTTCAAGAAAATTAAACATGACTCGTCATTTTAATTTAAACTCGGCTAATTTAATTTTAACTTCGTTCAATTTAACAGAATTTTTCGTTGGAAAGCTTGATTAAAAATACAAAATGAAATTTTACAAATAAAATTGAATATATACAAAAATGAGATAACGCGCAAATTTGGTGTGGAGCCCCAAGATTTACTCGCAAGTTGGATTCCGTATGCTGTAGCCATGGACCGAAAGATGTTTCATCGCGCATTATATATCCGTGTATTCCGTTCTCTGCTATGCAGCTAGCTGGAATTTTCGCAACGGGTGCAACGCGCTGAGCTAACCGCCGTTACCGCTAGGCGATGTATTATGTCGTAATTCGTAACGAGCGTAGTTAAAGTGTAATACCGTTTTTTCTAATCTTTTAGTCATTTTAGTGATCTTCCAAGCGAGAGGAATTTCAACGATACATAATCGCGAGAGACGATAGATCAAATATACGAGAACACGTCCCGAGCCGGAGGCTTTTTTCAATGAAGTCGCACGATACGCGCGCGCACACACCTTCGAGGCGGATAACATAATTTACAGATCTCGTCGTCGCGACTGGTCACGTGTTCACTCAACACGTGGCGAGACAGCTATGTAACACGAAGACCTTGCGCCAGAATTGTGGCGGGACACGCGAGGAAAAGAAGTAGTTAAATTGATTTGCGACGAGACAAGACAAACGCGCGACACAAGCGCTTGAATTTTGCAGAGCATTGTCGCGATAAATCACAAAGCGAAATCCCACGATCGCCCAATGTGCCAACACCACGTGTGACTATCTTACGGTCTTAATTGCAGGAAGAGATTCAAGCAAAGAGCTGATAACCTAATGGTGTTTTGATATCCTTAACTCGCCACCACGTCGCGTCGTATCAGACGCGATCCTTGAAATAAATATAAGAAAGTAAACCTTATTATTCGAGATTACATCAATTCAGAACGCCCGTCTTTCATGCCGTTCGCGTACCTCTCGTGGCTCAATGCCTAAATAAACCGGAGTTCCACCGCGGCGGTCGCGATACGGATAATGCCACGTATCATTTATCTTCGACAGGAAATGATCGGATTCGATCGTATCGAAATAAATCACGCGAAAGAGGGTTAATGTCTCTGCCCGTGATACAACGAGGAGATTAAGAGTGCCGGGCGAGCGGGTAGAAATTTCATCGGCGTCATCGAATTCGGCACGTACGGCCGAGCGATTTTCTTCCTCGATTGGCGGAGTTTCACCGGGCAAAAGTGAACCGGACCCGATTCCGCGGCGTAGCGGTTAGGTAGCGGGCTCACCTGAGTATGTTCGGATGGCTGAGCTTGTTCATGAGCTGAACTTCCTTGAGCATGTTCGGCCTGTTCGCCGGCAGCTGATTCATCTTTAGCACCATCACCTGACTCGTCACTTTGTGCGTAACCTGGAAAACGAACGAGCACACAGGGTGGGTTGGTGACATATTGCGATGCGCAGTCACGTCGTGCAGTTATTGACGTTAGATCATACGACAGGTGCATACGTAACCGTTCCGATTCTTCGCAGGTATAAACTTCTCCGAGGTCGCGCGTGGCCTCGCAAAGAATGTCGCAAACAACCGCGCGACAACGTTTTCCAGGTGTTTTCGAGATTTGTGGGATACCATTTATTACTCTGTAGAATTTAGAATCTTTAAATAAAGATATATGTGAGGCGCCTTACAAACGAGGATATATGTGAGGCGAAGAGATCAGATATATCCGGAGAAGTTTATACTCGCATTAAGGGGATGCCATAAAGATTGACAACTTTAACAGCAAAATAACAAAATAGCAAGGCTTTCTTCTGCAAAGTTTACATCGTATCGTTTGCATAGAATTACAAATGCTTGTAATGAATACAATAAGAGTTCATACGAAAATTAATTGGAGCATTGCTAAAAAATACAAAGAAAATTGCTGTAATTTTACAACTGAGTTTAGAAGGTTAACAATACACGACAAATTTATAGAAAGATTTTTATTTATATGCGATTACGTTTTTTATACGAAAAAGGTAGCGTCAGTACTCATTCGTCATGACATTTTAACGACCGTCTTTGTGTTATCAATATTTTGGGCGTTTGTTATTCATTCTGGCATCTCCTTAATATATACATATGCTCGATGAAAACAATTACAAAGTAAATAGTTATAAATTACAAAGTGGGTAGTCATAAATTTAACGATTATCACACATAACATCGCGTTTCAGAAGATTTGCTCTAAATTCAAAGTGTCAACATACAAAAGTCAATTTGGCTCTAGAAATTCTTGGCTTCTAGAAATTCTTGTCGGTAACCAATGTATATGAAAAAACAAAAAGTCAACTTTATTCGAGCTGCTTGGAAAAATCTCCTAAGACTAGTCAATTTTAGTCGAGATGATCGGAAATCTCGTCTTAATGCATCATCGACAGGTGGTTTTGGAATATCCTGCACCGCTCTCGATAGTGACGACGCCAGATGCGTATTCACATCGTTTTCCAGTCACGAAACGAAGGCTCACTGTCGTCCCATTTTCGCGCGGCAAGTAACACAGGCGCGCGCGCGCGAGCGAGAGAGAGAGAGAGCGAGAGAGAGAGAGAGAGAGAGAGAGAGAGAGAGAGAGAGAGAGCAACGCTAAAGCGATATTCTCGCGAAAGAGAAACTTATTAATGAAACCGCGGCATCTGGCTGGCGTAGAGTACGCTCATAAAGGCGCCGGCCTCGCAATCGTGGGCATCGTTCAATGTCGAAAACAGACACGCGGACGCCGTAACTTCTTTATTAGTCTCGAAAGCCCGCGCTTAATGAGCGCGATCGCCGCAGCTTCCTTCGCTGGTCGATTATCACAGGCATCCGAAGAAAGAAAAGCGGTATCATGCGCGCGTCTCGTGGCGATTATTCGGCGAACTCGATCTTACCTCCACGCCAATGCACGTCGACTTTCATCGCGGCGATATACAATGTACTTCCCATGTGTTGGGAATATTACAAATAGATCGTAACTAGCTGCAAAACAGTCGCATTAATGGGCTAGTTAAATCGGGAAGAGCTGGAAAAAGCTTCCATAGCCGCGGGACGCGCCGTAATGAACTTTCAGGAGGAGACGACTGATGGATGCGGAGAGGGAGGTCTATCCACGATTTTTCTCTCTTATCGATGAAATGAGCCTGTCGTATTTTCTACGGCAGTGCGAGAGAACACGTCTTGAGAATCCGAGGAACGCGGGCCGCCGACGGGGATAAGGACCATTGGATTACATCAACTCACTCACTCAACCGATCCTCAGTGTTGAAAGACGTAATGCGCTCTTTTACATTCCACTGGCTCACGCGTTTTCCCCGTTCATCTCGAATTTCATCTCGGCTCTAGAAAAAGTCCCGGAGCAGGGATAAGACGGTGATGAAAATGGAGACGCGGCAGACTCAATCTGAGAGATAGAGAAAGACAGAAGAGCTCCTGCTTTCAGCCGGCAAGATGGAAATTGCACTGGTTAAAAAGTCGAAAATATATCTAAGGAGAATCTGGCCAGGATTCCTTGGCAGTAGCTGATTTAGTTGGGTCGTGGCCAAACGATGACGAGCACGAGCAACAGCAGAGTCCGCCGTAAACAGGACGGTTGCAGAAAATCGGCCGTTTCTCGGCAAAAGATAGAAAACGAGAGAAAAAGAGAGAGATCGATTCGCCCGAGACGCCGTTGGAATCGGAGAATTTTGCTTTCGCTCAAAACCACTCGGCCAAAAATCCTAACCCGTCCGTTTACCGTCACGGTAAACGCTCTTTCTCGCTACTTCCCGAAAACCTTTCACATCGCTCTACGAAACGTGTTTCGCGAGTTTTCTCCGTGTATTCTAGCGTGTATTCTAGCAAATCACCTTTCATTTAGGGATCCGCTCAACAAACTCGAAGTCGGTTTGCTCGCGGCAAGTTTGTCAAGAGAAGTCATTTGCTCACAAGAGTTTCCAACTTTTTTAGTATCAAAGAATCTAAATCTATATATTTCTATCTATAAATAATCCTTAAATTAAAAAAGAAATATCTGTTAAAAATAAAATTCGATTAAAAATCAAAGCTAAAAAAAGTTATATCTTGCATTCCTGGATCTCTAAAGTCGCGATAAAATATTCTCTGAATGATCATATTTTCAAGTCTGAAACTGGACAACACACATAAAATGCTATGTGTGTTGAAATTAAATTAACGAAAGACGATTAACGTGGAAAAGCGCGTTTAGATACGCACTTCCTCCTTAGTAATCAAAAGCATTCAAACAAGTCGGCCGTTCGCTCTCGCAACGCTCCGCTCCAGTTTTCTCCGCGAGGCTAAAGGTTCGCTATTTTATCGTCGAATATAAATTGCCGTTAATACGCGACGCAAGTGTCTGACTTTGATCCCGTTCTGACAATTGATCCCGTCTGAATGTACGCGTATACGATTCATTCGTAACGAGACGCATCGTGTTTTTGCGTGCGGCTGCAAGAGTCGCAAGAGTCAATATTAAAAAAATCTCGCAGATTCAATCGGCACGCGCAAATAAATCTCAACAGTTTGAAACTCATCCCTCGTCGAGAAGGATTCGACTGTCCTCCTTCTGACGGAAATTTGCAAAGTGCTAACGCGAGTGTAATACAGGAGACTCGTAAATAAGGACTGACAGGAGGACCGGACGGTGTCGGTCACCAGCGGCGATTCATTTGAATAATTCCCATTGTCTGGAAAGCTCCGGCCTTGCGTGTTTTCTACGCACTACGCGCCATTGTGTTTACGACCGTGGAGAAAGCACACGCGGCAATTACATTGTAGCAGCGAGTGATTAATGCCCCCTCGAGTACACCGCCGCATGCATAATGCGAAACACGTTTCGCGCCTTTTCACCCGCACGTGGAAGTACCGCGTTAAGGACGTTCCATACGGGCGGAAGAACCGAATCGAGGAGAATAATCGATGCCATTACACGCCGGAAAAAAAAAACGGAAAACGATAGAGAACAACGGTTGGGAGCTTCCATATGCGGTCAGTCGCGCGGTTAATACCCACCAATTATCGCTTTCAATCGAGATACCACAAAAGTACAAAGCCCATTCTACAATAGCCGTAAGAATACGCAGTTAGACTTAAGCAGCGAGCAAATTGACCAACCGCAGTCCATTATTCTTGGACTTTAAGAATCCCATTGATCAATTAGCTCTCACCGCTTGCGTTTTACTGCGTACTTTTACGGCTATTGTAGAATGGACTTAAGAGTGGCTTCATTACTTCGTAAAAAAGAATAGACAAGTCGAATTTTATCGATTTTCAAATGACTTGGATGAATCAACCATCGAGGACCTCGCTTTATAGCGAAGAGAGAGGAACACGCACCCCGTCGTATCGTTCCGGAAAGCTACGGCGCAATTACGAGCGGCGAACCAATTAGCAAGCGCACTGGACTTTGTAAGCTCAAGAGCTGCCTGCAAAGGTCTACCTCCTGCGTCCCCATAGCCACATATAAAAGTCAACGTCTAATAATAAATGCGCCCAAGAGAGATGAAAGGCGGCAAATAGGAGATGCAACAGTTCGAATGTTTAAACATCGTATAATACAGCGACATATTCGATTTCTCTTCATGTAAAGAAAAATAGCCCACGTACGTCGTTAGAAGGAAATAATTGCGAAGTAACATATATGTCGCCCCACGTTTGTACTGAGAACTGATTGAATGATTTAAATGAATGTCTTGCGTAATTTTGTGCGAGAATACGGGACATTAATTTACGGCATCAGAATGAAAAGATTCGTGGAATTGAAAGTATAAATATTTATGACTCCACGAACTGGCGAAAACCAACTTAAAAATAATACGCCGCAGAAACCAGAGAGGTACGAAGGAACTTTCTAAATTTGAACTTTTTCAGGTGGAACCTATACGTGCCGGTCATCGCCTCCGTTAAAGGTTAACTGCACTCGCATGCAAATACAATTCGCGGATTAACACACGAGACGTGACGGCGGCGGGACAACTGTCATTTTTGTCGCGTGTGTGTGTTTCCACCGCGAGTTCGAGTGCCAGTAATTAATCTTGTTAATTAATCTTTTCTTTTTTTTTTAACGCGCAAAAATGCCGACTAAAATTAGAGACGATATTGGCAGGATTGCAGAAAAGACAATTATGGTGTCGAGGAAAAATTTCTCCTGGAAAAACGGAGAAAAATCCGTCCGTAATTCGATGAGTTGCTATTGTAGAAATAAACCCCTCGTCTCTCGGTTCGGTTCATCCGTAAATTCCGGTTTCTCTACGAACGAGAAACACATGATCTCTCGTTCTCGTTCTCTCTCTCTCTCTCTCTCTCTCTCTCTCTCTCTATCTATCTATCTATATATATCTCTCTCAGGCCTATCCTGTTGCAATGTGGGGAACAAATGTCGGGAGGAAGTGATAGTC